TTCGTTATCCAAAGTCATTGTGAATGACTCGATCTTTTGGCACCAAGCTGAGAGCATGTGGTTTGAATTTGACTTGAGCTTATCAATAACCAAGCCATGAAGGGAGAAGATTCTTCTGTGCGAGGGATATCTTCGGCGAGTATAAGGTACAGGCTTCCGCTAAACATTCCGATGACCACCATCATAGTCTTCATTCTAGGAATCTTGTGGAATTCGTCAAGCAACGTTCCTAAGCAGCCAATACTGGCCTGATCTGTGACGGGCCGCGAATATCTCCAGTGAAGGCCGGGCCTACGCTAAGGGCGGCCATTCAAACGGCAGCCGGACCCGGCCAACCTGCAAGTGACAATGGCTTGGTGCCAGAGGGCTTAGTAACAGTGTCCTCGAGATCCTGATTGGCCCAGCCTCAGCTGTCCGCCAAAGATCTTACCTGACGTCCGTTCATCATTGAGGCTGACAGGTATCTCAACCGCCTGCCCCGGATCATAGTCTACGGCCAGCGGACCGTCCAGCGGCCTACAGACAACTATGGCGGCCAGGGCTCCAGACTGGCCCATATCCTGGACAGTCTACAAATCCACCAACTCCTATAAATACCTGGCGGTTCCTTAAACTTTGGCGGGTATCAGGATTGCCGGCGGTATCTGTAAATACCTGCAAATGTCGGTGACAGTTGTGAATACTCGCAGATATATACAAATACCTGACACGTATCAAGGGCCAGGGACTCAATATAAGAGACACATTCTTCGTGCAGCAGAGAATATTGCAGAAGCATGGAGATATATTTCGTAGAGATATATTTAGGCCGGTAAACATTGCAACCGAGCTCGGTTTATCAGTTCAAAGTCTAACCGATCGGATTTGACCGGACCTGGCATGACCCGGGGGAGACCCAGGACGGCCCGGTCGGGGTAATGCTGGAGCCATTTGCCCGCTTCTTGAGTCATCCAGGGAGACGAGATGCGATAAGTTTGGCGCCCCATGGATGGCCGTGGGTGACACGCGGCGGGATTCACACGCAATTACAAGCTGACATCCGTGGGAACCGAGATGTCAGGCATACAGCTCCTACCGGTTCTGTTCCAGGATCCGTATGGTTGGTAATTTCGCTTCGTGCCGTCAAACCGAGATGTAATGCCTCAGGAATCCCCACAACATCCGAAACAATGCGGCTCTCGATTGGGTCATGCCATCCTGAAACCAATTGCTCCTAGAATCTGGGGGAGTCTGCTACTTCAGACAGTGCATGAGACACTTGAGGCGTCGTCTGCATTAACGCCGCTTCGTAGCTCCCACCCGTGGCGACGACGTTGTTAATGTCATTACGATGCGGTCTTCTTATCGATGCTTGAAAGCCAGGCATTGAATATTCATTATCGGTTCGAACAGCGGAGTCAAGATCTGGTCCCTTTGTGCTGACGCAGGGAGATGAACGAACGAAGGCTTGTAGCTGAAGTCCCGGGCCCTTTGGTCCTGTCGTTTATTGATACAGTGGTGTGAGCGGTAGATAGGTGATGGGAAATATTGAGGAGCGACAAGTGAAAATGGAAGACAAGGTGTTGAAGTGGAAGCGTGGTGACAACAAGCCCAACATCTACCCGCTTCTCGTACTTCCCATGTGCAAAATCTTTTGCAAAAGCATGAATTGACATTATCTCCTGCTCAGTCTCCTATGACTGACATGAGACAATGATCATTGAAGCAGTCTTTTGTCGTGAGCACTTGACGGGGCAAAACCTTAAGCCGAGGAACAGAAAGCAAAAAAGAAATAACGATGCATCCATCGGGAATCGAACCCAAGCCACTTGCTTGGAAGGCAAGTATGATACCATTTCACCATGGAAGCCGATGGATGTAAGTTCAGGCTAAATTACCACTTTCCAGCAAAATAAACATAGAAGAGCACTCGGTGCAAGGTGCAGTTTCCGCCCAGGACCTGTGCGGACTGTCCAAGTGGCAAGGAATAGCCAAAATAAGAGAAAACTTCGGCCACAATCTGTAGCCATTAACATACTATTACTACATTACAGAGAGGACGCCACCATATGCTGAAAGGAGGGGAACAGAGGTCGAAAGGTGCATCATGTTATGTACGCGTAGATGTACAGCCCTAGACTAGCCCTAGACACAACCAGAAGAATCCCGGAGGTCCTATGAAGGGAGGACTCACAGCCTCTGCCCATACCTTTCCGCATACACCATGCATCTGCACCCAGCTCGCACAGAGGAAAGGATCTGAAAGTCACAAGCTCCGAAACCCATACACCACGATAAAACCAATAAACTTCGCCCTCTCCAGGGTGCTGGATTTCACCGGCTGGGTAAGCTGCGAGTACGGCATCTCGATTCATCAGATCCGCGGCGCTGTAGCCGGTTGTATCAATTTGCTGCAACTGCTTTATACGGTCTTCCTCGGGGGTTGGCTCGACAGATGGGATCTTTTGGCTAAACATGCCTAACCTCTACCATCATGGCGAATCCAACGACGAACGCGACGAAAGACCACGAACAAGATGCGGCGCCAACATTCTCTCAGATCCGCGAGTTCTCACAAGAAGGGATTCTTCACTACCGTTGTTCTTAAGCGGTCAGATCGACCGCCCGTGATCTATAGATCCATAGACCGGCCCGGCCCGGTCTCCGCTTGCAAAGCCGCCCTTGGCATAGACCGGCCAGATGAATGGTCAGAAAAGCCTGGATATCTATCTTGGCGCAGATGTTTGCGGATATCTGACGCTCAAAGAAGGGGCGGTGGATGTTCATAACTCTCTACTAGTATCTATGATATTTGGGTATTGCGCGGTTTCTGGCTTTGCAATCTGTAGATATCCATAGGCCGGCCAGATCAAGATCCGCAGATCTATAGACCGGTCAGATTGAGATTTTAAAAGTCGCCCTTGGCGTAGACCAGCCCGGTCACACGCCATATCTGACCGGACTGACCGCTTGGGAACACTATTCACTACCTGGACGAGCAAGGATTCTTCCAACGCTTTCTCCCCGAGGTCCGTGACCGATTCAAGCTTCAAGGCATTCATGGCAATCACCTGGTTGCTCTGTGTCACAACCCGGACTTCCTCGTGAATGCGATTGGGTGTGGGTCGGCGGTGGATCTTTCAAAGATCGTTGAAGAGCTATATACTGCGGCAGGTATGACTTCGGCCGTAGATTTGTGCTTCCCAAGGTCCAGAAGTTCTTTGCGAAGGAGGAGAACTAAGGAGTAAAGTGTTGGTGGTGTTTCTGGTATTTCCGGTGTCGGGGGTGCTGGCGTCTATGTCTCTTCGGTACTGGTAGTTAATGAAAAGCTCTGTTTCTTTAGGACTCTCAGTTCTTCGTAGACACCGTCCACGCGTTCCACAGCTCTTTCATCACCCTGCCATCAGCACCGAGAACCACCCGCACTCCTTCGACCTGCCCGCCGAAGCACGAGTATGTTAAGATCAAATGTACTGCGTCCGTAGATAACTGCTGCCTCTCGATGGAAGGATAGGTCGGCGCAACAAAAGCTCCAAGGTTTGTAATAGGGTCGAAGGAGGGTCGTTCGTAGCAAATAGTCCTAGGCAGATAGCAGAATTAGGTCTCAGTGTTGGAGGTGGAATGAGAGGGTTAAGAAGTTTGAAGAAAGGAAGGTTTAAGTAGTCACTGTTCCTGCCTCCAGCTTCGCCGACACTCGCTTTTCCTCTATAATTTGGCCGCCGACGATGTCACCCCGTGACCACCCCACCAACATATAAACCTCCGATTCCCCTCCACTTCCTCTCCTCTTCTCACCAATGTCAACACCTCCTTTTCTTCCACCAAGAATATCACCAGGTGTTTTGGGAATGCTGCCACATCAGCTTACTTCGCCCACGGCATACAAGAGAGAACCCGGATCCTACGAAACAACAAAACGTACGCAAATAGCCGAACGAACAAAGCGAGTTCTCCCAGTCGACAATGGGGAGGACGTAGGTACCGCCCGGGCTGCCTTGGTGGAATAGGATGAAGAGGAATCCATATCTCCCAAATTTCCAATCAGGTCAAATAAGGGCTGTTACCTCACCGCCTGGTCTGTGGCGTAAATAAGATACAAAAGCCTACTATGTACTGATGTACATCACCGCGGCACAACGTCTTGGGTGAATAATGAGATGGATAGTCTCGACGGGCGCCGGTTTCTACCAATCCTGGCTTCCGGACCCTTCCGCACGAGCAATCCGCACGAGCCGTGGTTCTCTCCGTATGAGAACTGGTGGCCCAGGGTGGAATAATAAACGATATCGATGCTCTTATCAACCAGTACAAGAGTGAAAAACTGATAGGAGAGGATGAAGGGACAAGATCCCATGATCGGTAAACATATCCCAGAAGAACTTCTAGCCTCGAGAGGAAGGTCGGGGAAAGACTCATTGCGAGATATGAAACGCAACTATTCGCAAAAATATTACAAACACCTTTTACAAGGAAACAACTGCAAAATTTCTGGAAGACTTTGCTGTACCAGGGTGCTTCAAATATCCACGGGTTGTGCAACTCTTATCTCCAAAGACGACAAAGACGAGTACAGTCGAGCTGCAAAGAAAATAGCTATGCTAGATCTCTTTTCCGGTGGTTCGTCTTTTGTCTGCTGGCGCAACTTCATGTCACTACACTTCAGCCACGCCACTTTTCATCGGCCCTCTTCTGGATTTCAGTTAGTCTCCAGTTCTATATATCATACCCCACCCTGGGTTTATTCTGCCGGCTACATACCTAGAAAAATTGTATGTTTACTACCGTGGGATACTGTTAGTTTACTCAGAGCAGACTTCACCTCGTCCACACGATTCCTCGCAACACAGACCCTTATGGATATCTTGACCGCACGAAACGAGATATCACTACGATGCAGACAATTGGTCTGTCGGTCCCGGCGAGCCCCTACCGGTTCTTCGGCGAGAAAAAAGAATTTCATAGCTGTTGCTCTAAAAAACAAGTATTTTTCTACAAAATACAGCCACGTGATATTATGTCAAGGCATTGTGTCCGAGTGGTTAAGGAGAGAGATTAGAAATCTCTTGGGTTCGCCCGCGCAGGTTCGAGTCCTGTCGATGTCGATATCTTCTTTTGTTTTTGGCTTTCTAGTTTTTTGATGGCTACGGTGGGCTTGCCGTTAGCACGGTTGGGGTAACATGGTGGGGGAGGGTGTGATCTGGGTGAACGATTGCAGTTTCTATTTCCTCCGACGTCAAACTGCTAGTATCAAGTATGGCAACTTCACCATGGCCTTCCGGCGCTACCACGCTTCGGTGCACGGAGCAGTATCCACATAGTTACCGACGAAGGCCATCAGTTCGAACGGTTGCTACACTCATATGGAAGATCTCATTGAAAAGAGTGGTTGTATTCGCCTCGTTCCTGCAGTCCCCCGAGCCAGAATACGCATGGGGGTGAGCGGGGCGTTCTGGGCGCGATATGGTGATAACTGTCTTGTGAAGTGCAGCGAGACGCTCCCTATGATGGGATCAGGATGGTCTCATGTTCAAGGTTGGAATGCGCCCCAAAACTGGCTTTAAGGAGCTTGAGTATGGCTCCCCCGGGCGTCAGATATGGACACAATTGCAAAGTACAGTAAGTACATAAACCCCCCCCGAAGAACCCTATGTTGAACCAGAGCCAACGCCCATACACCTAATCCCCCATTTCTACTTTTTTGATCCATTTCCTATGTTGAATACGCCCACCTTTTCTAAATGTCCAAACTTTTTTTGCTGCTGCACAAGAAACTAACCCCTCCAAATCGCCACCGCCATATCCACAACCTTCTTCATCTCTGCAACATCATGCACCCTGACCACATCCGCGCCTCCAGCCACGCATGCGGCGACAGCACCCGCAGTACCCCATTGCCTCTCTCCCGCCGCAGCCACTCCCGTAACCGTACCCACAAACCGCTTCCTACTTGGACCCAGCACCCATGGCAGCCCTCCACCCCTCATCTCGCTCAGGCGTCTGATAATCTCCAGATTCTGTTCCATAGTCTTTGCAAACCCCAGCCCGGGGTCGAGCAGGATATTCCACCTCCTGATCCCCGCCTCCTCAGCAGCTTTGACACGCGAGCCAAGTTCCGCCTTGATATCGTTGATGAGATCGTGGTACGACGCCAGCGAGTTCATCGTCTCCGGTGTGCCGCGCGTATGCATGAGAACGATGGGGACGTTGAGCCCCGCGACGGTGGAGAGCATGTCTGAGTCCAGCAGGCCGGCTGAGATATCGTTGATGATGTTTGCGCCTGCCGCTATGCTCTTGCGGGCTACAGAGGCCCGGTAGGTATCAACGGAGATGGGGATATCGATACCCGCTCCGCGGATAGCCTCGATGGCTGGTATCACGCGGCGAAGCTCCTCTTCCTCACCTACGTCTCGGGCCCCTGGGCGAGTGCTCTGTCCGCCGATATCGATGATGCTGGCGCCGGCCTCAACGAAGGAGCGCACGGTATCCAAGAGGTTGTTGTGGTTGTATTTCCCGCCGTCGGAGAAGGAATCCGGGGTTAGGTTCAGTACAGCCATGATGAGGGTGTCTCTGGTTGAATTACTCGGATCTAGTGGTGGTGTGGTGGGTGAAATTTTGACGTATGTGCGTAGTGGGGGTGTTCCAGGGGGAGAAGGCGGAACGGCGGCGAGGTGGTGCTTGAATGCTGTTGAAGTATGGGGGTGTGCACGGTTTGGTGCAATGTCGCAGAGGGGGCGGAGAACGAATTCGCGTTCGAGCATGGAGAGGTGGGGAATTGTTAGTGTTGGAGTGGACATTGTGAGGGCGTCGTAGAGGAGGATATCGAGATCCACTGTACGAGGACCGTTGACAATGGTCTTAACCCTACCCAAGGCATCTTCGATGGATTTGAGCTCTTTCAAGAGGTCTTCGGGGGAGAGGGTGGTTTCAACCTATCTCCGTTAATAGGCATCTCGAGGAAGCGAGAAGAAACAAATACCTGACAGGTACCATTCAAGAAAGTTGGTTGGTCTGTGACGTACATCGGCGCACTCTGGTAAAGACTGCTTGTCTTCTTGATCTTGAGTCCTCGCCTTTCCATCTCCGCCACTGCATCATTGATGTTCTTATACCGATCCCCCAGATTGCTGCCTAGAGCTATAAACACATCATGCATCCCCTCCTTCCCCGGCTCTGCCTGCTCCAACTCAAAAAAGCTGCGCTCCCTCGTGATCTCGACTCCAGCCGCCTTCGCAAACGTCAACGCACTTGGCTTCTCCGCCCTGACAGTAACCTTGGAGACGCCGCAAGTCACGCATGCCTCCCTGGCCAGCGCCGTCACGAATGCCTCCACCGTCTTATAATCGCTCTTCTCGACATATTCCGAAACCGTATTCGTAATAGCCCTAAAATCATAACCCTTATCGAAATCTCCAACTCCCCCATCATCCTGGGTGGGTTTGTGCAGCGTCAGATTGATAATGACATTCTGCCTCTCTTCCCGCTCCCACGGATTGACTCCAATGATTGTAACCAGCCTCAGGTCTTTAACAAAGACCCTATCCTCCCCCTCCTTCTTCACCACCTCACCATCCCTTCTCCGAACAATCGAGATCCCCGCCGCATCCGCCCTCAACAGAGCGCGTGGCTTCTCGATAGACACCTTCACCCATTCACCGCGCAATTCCTGCCCCAACGCTAAATGCGCCACATCCTCCGCTAGATGCTCCAAACTCTTGAACGCACCGTTTTCGACGAGCTTGGAGACGGATTTGCACACGGTACCGTAGTGGATTGAGTATGGGAGGTGATCCGTCGAGCCGGCGAGTGCGACCGAGGTCTTCAGCCAGAGCGAGAGAAGGATTGGCTGTGGTTTTGGACGCTTCCAGGAATCAACTCCCGTTGTTGCTTTGCTTCTGCCGTCAGCGGAAGAGCTACAGGTGGAGGAGGAGGAGGGTGGGGTACAGATTTAGGGAGCGTAGAAAGATGAGGTCGCGACCATCTTCGGAGGAGGGTGCTTCGCTCATCATTGTGGCGCTGTAGGCGCGGATAAAGGTGAATGGTAAGGCACTTCGGGCAGCGAGCAATGGGAGGATTGAGTGACTGCGGTGGTGGTTGGCTGCAGAAAATGTGGATAGGAATCTATTCATGCGGTTCGACCGACCTTACAGGTGCAGATGGTGGGATGAATGCGGGGTATGGAAACATGGGATTTACTGGGATGTGAGCCGCACGACTTCACCACTCACTCACTGCCTACTCGGCATCTTGAATGTAAAAGAGGAAGAGAAGGATGCTTAATTTGACTAGGAAACGATTTTTGCTACAAAGACTCAACTGTGCCACATCAACGCCCAACTAAGAAAAGGAAAATACCACCATGAAGACAATCAGAACCAAGCACTCGAACAACAGATCCAACCTAAATGTGCGCCTAACGAACAGCGAAAGCACATACAGATAACAAATTACCATAACAATCGGCCTCATGATCACAAAACACCGTACAGCTGATGCAAACACACAAAAACACACCATAACAATCTCAAAACGACAACTAGCGAGTGGATATATTTCATCAAAAAAAAAAGGCAATGTTCATTACCGAGGGCATATACTTGGGAACACTTTTCTCCCGTGTATATCAATTCCGTATTCAACCACCCCGCTGTCGGTGGCGACGTACCTGTAGGCATTGTTAGAATCGCTAGGGGACCGAGTTGGAGGCAATGTTCGCTTACAGTTTTTTTCCATCGGGATCTAAAGTGCATCCCGTGATATCTACGCCGTCGCTGGCGTATGAGTAGGAAAACGACGTATCAAATCGTCCACTTCTTCTCTGTCTTCGACGTTGATCGGCTATGAGAGTTGTAATCTGCTCTAGGGGCCTCAACGAAGGTGCTGCAGTGGAGCCTCTAGAGAGCCTACTCCGCTCCCTTTCGCTGGAAGCGGTGGCGGTTGAGGTGGGACCAGTTGCAGTCGACGAGTTGCTTGACGTAGGAGTCCAGTGATCGGTATATGATGGGTGAATTGAATTTCTCCGCCTTGGTGGATCATGTACTCGCTGTCTGGCCCTCTCCCGTTCAATTTGCCTCTCTCTGTAGTCCCGGAGAAGGGATGGAGTCGAACCTGGTAACCCAGAACCCGCAGAGCGAAGAATCTGGGAGGGGGGGTCTGACACTAACTCGGGGTGGGAGGGAAAGTACGAGCCCGGTGTCAAACTTCTTACCCTTGCGGCAAGCCATTCACTTGAATTTTCATAGACCAGGTCTGCTAGTTCATTAATCGAAGCACCCCTCTCTACATCTGATACTGTGACATCTTCGCCATTCCCCTCGTCTCCTCGAGAGTACCGCCGGTTGTTGGTGGGACTTCCGAGCAGACTTTGCGAGATATCGCAGGCAGAGGGCGAATCTTGGACTTCTTCAACCTCCGCTTCGACTAAATCTTCTTTCTCGGCGAGCACATCCACCACCTGTCTCCGAGTGAAATTACTTCTTGCATCGGCAATACAGACCTTTCCACAGTGCTCAGCCCAGACCAGTAGGTCCCAGGGTGCCGGTGAAAACTGCACGCTGCGCACGGCGCCTGGTTCCGTGAAAGCTCGAGATGAAGCAATGACCTTGACTAGCGGAGAGCAGCCATCGTCGCAAGATAGATATCTCGTGTCGAAGATGGTGATAATACCAGCTTGAGAAGCAACTGCGCAGTGGAGTGATGAGGACGAAAAGCTGGTAGACATCAAGGCATCGGTCTCTGTACCTGCCCTGAGCGGTGGATGTGACGACAATATCCATGAGCCGCAACCAGCTTCGCCAATGCCGGTTCCAGGTGATATGCTGCAGGAACCAGAAGATGCAGGGTGATAGAAGTAAACTTCGGGAGAGTCGCCGACAACCACCAGGTGTTGACCATCAGGGGAGATAGAGGCATGGTTGGTTGAAACATCGACATGGAGAGTCGTTACAACTCGGTTCTCAGCCAGATGAAAAATCCGGACCGTTTTATCGTTATTCCTGATGCAATTGTTAATATTGATAATACTAAGACGGCATATGACATACGTCAAAATAGCAAGGACATCATCCTCACTGGTTGAAGATGGTGACCGGTGCAGCGTAACTGA